CACCAAGGAGTAACTAGAAAAGAAATAAAATTTTGAGCCACCTTCAAATAAAGAGACAAAAAGTATCCATAACATGCAAATATCTCTCACACAAAACATCCCAGAAATGCCCTACACATTGGCATCCTTTTTATTCCTCTCTCGTTTATTCATAACATGCAAAACTTTCTCACTCAAAACATCCCACAAATGCCCTAAACATTGTCATTCTTTTTATCCCTCTTTCCTTTCCTTCGTCTCCCACTCATTTTATCTTTTGAATTATGCAAGAAACAGAAAACCCTTCATCTATCCAGGAATAATTTAATCTGGATATACCATTTTCTTTGTCACTCCACCATCTATAACAAATTCTTGGCCTGTAATAAACCCGGCACGATTTGAATCAGCCAAAAATAGGCACATTTCTGCTATATCTTCCGGCACGCCCACCCTGCCAACCGGATGCCAAACGTGATCTTCTGGCCTCAAAATTTGACGCCCTTTAGGGTCAGTGTTTATCCAACCAGGCAAGACAGCATTCACTCGGATCTTCCCTGCCCAAGTCACGGCCTGCAATAAAGTCTTGCCAATTAAGACTAGTCCTTACTAAATATTAGCAATAATCCATATATTATAATAAAAATCATATGGTAATCATCATAGAGTTCATTCAAGCATACTTGGTCCTTAGAAACAAATCAAAGAAACTAAACAAAAACACCCCGTAAAAGTTTAGCATCATCAACCAATTTATGGTTTTGACTTCTTGAGACATGATTCTTAGCCACCCAAGAAAAAACATGTTCTATTTGGCATCAATTCAGTTATCACTCACATTGTTTAGTTTCCTTGACCAGGAAAACTATCTTAATTCACACATCTTAGTATGTGTCGTGCTTTTAAAAAATTGTCATGGGAATTGCATGATTCAGTATAACGCTTACAATAATTATGATACTGATGAATCAACAATTCTCAGAGGCCATTATTTTGACACCATAAGTGGGGAGATATACACTACAAGTAAATGTGGACAAATTTATGTTCTGATGACGTGAGATATTGAATCACCAATGAGTGTACTATTATGTTTTTTGATGAAGTGATGCCAAAGTCATAGAAACATGATAATTTTCTTGTAAGAAATCCCAACGAGACAATAATTTTGCAGGAGCAGCCCCCTTCTTTACTTTTTAATAAGCAAAAAAGCTGACCAACTTGCGCGTCACTAGATAGCATTGTAATCTAAGTAGGATAAGAAACTGTTTCAACAGTCACATTTAATGCCAGAACTTTTGTAGAAATTAGCAACAGTAGAAATAAACATAGAAGAAAATCCTGTGCTGCACAATGAATTTATTTGATTTAAAAAGGCATCATAAAACTAGCAGAATTGCTGACGCATATATTTGGGGCACAATGCATATTAACGAGTAAAAAATGAGATATAGCTGGATGTCTTTTGTGCCGACAAATGGTGCAAGAGAACCACAAGTGCAATAGCTTAATAGCCATCAGTTACAATGACAGGGTCAAATAGTGGCCAGATAGATAAAGTTAACAGGAGTATAATCTGAGCACCAACCTGTGAATGTGTAAGGCCGCACAACCCTGCCTTCGAGGCTGTGTAGGCTTCTGTATGTGGTTCACTTTGTAATGCCCTTGTGCTAGAGATGTGGATTATGCTAGAACCGCAAGGCATATAAGGAGAAACATAATGTGACATGAAGAATGCACCATTGAGGTTAACAGATATTGTTCGAGCAAATGCTTTCAATTTTTCTTCCACTCCATCCATGAAGACACGTGTTTGAGCTGCACTTTCAGCAGTGTTAAACAAGTTAGCAATCAAACTATTAGCCAATTTAGTTGAGCTCCTAAAATAAAATCCATCAAATTTAATATGCTTGAAATACAAAGTGAGGAGTTAATACGCGTCATTTTTCGGCATTCATATTTGCACAAAAAACCAAATCAAAGCATATAGGCAAGAATTGAAAGATGAATCAAACATTTTGTTAATGAAAGCTCTGAACTTGAAAATTAGTAATTAGTTGATTACAGCATACAGGGACATAAGTAAGGTTTTACACCATAGTGCTATCCTTACCTGCCCTCTGATATAAAGAAATTGATGCTCATGCAGCTACAATGATAAAATGGAAAACAAATATCTTAATGGGCCACATACTCCATTGCTAGTTTGCATTCAGCGTGTTGAGAGTGTACCTTCATTTCTATTTGATAGCCCCTAATGCAGTCAAAATACATTCATGCCTGTAGTTATCGCAGCAATCCACATTAATTGCCCAAGTGCAATTTCTTACTAACTCCTAGACTCATCTACTTGTTTTGCTTCAACAAAAGAGTACTGTGATTCCTTATAACGACAACAGGGTTCCTAGTCTTTTACTGGCAGATTCTAGCTGATCTATGGTAGCAAAGAGTGCTTGAACTTTGTAGCTCGTCATCTTACATACCTACACTTCTATGCCCAGAACACTAAAATTCACCTTTTGGAAAACAATAAGATATCTTAGAAAAGGTGAACAGTTATTCATGTTGACAGCCGAGTTGTGCAACCAGTTAAAAAGTAGCTTATACACTTTGTTATATGTCTTTTATTGCAATCCATGATTATACTTTTCAGGGGAAAAAAATAGGAACATAGGTTTGCAGGATTATTCAAGAGAAAACTCAATTCAGAAACCATATATGAATAGAAAACTAGATACCTGCATTGTTAATTAAAACATGAATCTTGCCACCAAGCCACTGAACTGCTTCCTTAGTTGCATCCCTAACTTGGAATTCATCACTGATGTCAGCTTTAATGAAATGGAAAACATCTGATTGAAACTGTGGCAATGATGCATTTGTATGTCCCGTATCAACTTCAAGGTCGTTAATATCCACACCAACAACTTTATAACCCTGCATAAAATGCGTATGGTGAAGAATGGAAATGGGAAGAGCTGGTTAAAGTACATATGAAGATGTGTACTTTCCGTAACATCTGAATTAACAATTCTTGCCCAAATTAAAGAAAATTGGACACAGCACTGTGAAGACTGCAACATGCATTTGAGGTTCCACATAGCTCTCCTTACTAGATCTCAGTCCAATAATTTTAACCAAGACCATTGCAGTTAGCTTGCCATTTTCATGGCCACTTTAATCGAAGTGGATTGGCCATTCATTCAAATATTTACAAAACATTTATGGATTAGCCTTAGAGTCACCGTATTCCAACAAAATCAGAGTAGCTAATATCTGAAATGGAGTTCCAGAGACTCACTATATTTGTGATTGTAAATTGTAGTGTTGAATGGATGCTTTTATGAAACACAAAAACAAGTCTACAATAAAACTGCCACCAAATTTTCAATTCCAGAGGAGAACCCTCTATAGAAAATGTGGTGGTGAAGACAAAATTCTAATCACCAACATATTATAATAGATATCGCACATGCTGAACATAAAGTAGTCAAAGTTAGGATTGGGGCTTGGGCTTGGGCTTAGGCTTGCTTGGTTAAGATACTGACAATTGCAGTATTATGTTCCAAGTTCGAATCTTACCACTGAATAACCGAAAAAAAAATGCAATCAACTTCATAGCAACCTAGAGTACACAAGAACAAGACATAAAAAGCTCATTTATTTTCCTAACTCAAAAGAAACAAAAGCACATTCAGTTTCACTTCCAATTTAGAAAAATAGGGCCTGTTTGGATGACAATTAACCCCTTTTTTTTTCTTTTTTTTTGAGAATGTTGGATGACAATTAACTTCATCAGAAATTTATCTTATCTAAAATTAATATATTCTGGATAATACTATTTGTTAACTGCTTAGTATATAATATCTTGTATTATATATAATATTATTTAATTATTTAACATTCTCAGAGATTTCCAGATATTTTTAACTATTTCTGGCTAAAATTATGTGATTTCCACGAATTACTTTGAATAAAGTAAAAAAAAAACTTTTGAAAAAGAATAATGCCTCTAAGTTTATGTGAGATAACTTTATGATGGATGCTACCAAACAACACATAGTTCATTATCAGGATTAATTTTAAATACTGATTATTAATGATAACTACTAACAAATACATCTAAAATCTAGGATTAATTTTAAATGTGTGCAGTTTGCATACGGATGCATCCGTAGGTGTAGAGGTAAGGTGCACCTTCAAATTTTATCATGGTATATAATTTTGATGTAAAATGTTCTTAGGACTATCTCAAAATCTATTTTTATATCTAATTATAAAAATTTAAATTTCAAAAATGGTTAAAATCAAGTAGATCTATAAACATATGAAAATCCTGAAAATGGATGGTGTAGATAATATGTTGTAAAATACACTATTTCTTATACTTAAAATATTTTTCTTTTCCATAGTCATACATCTCTATGTCGAGATGATCAATCAACGGGTTTTTCAATATTAAAACTGCCTTTTCCGATGGATTCTTGAGGGGCATCCGTAGTTCTACATTATAAGGTAGCATCCTTATATAAACTCTTTCCATTTTAAAAAGTGAATTATTTGTGATAACGAGTACATCCAAAAAAAACCCAGATCATTAAAAGTTCCAAAAGAATGATGCTCACCAACCTGCTCGAGAAAGGATTTGACAAGGCATCGACCTATTCCACATGATGCAGAAACGCCTGTGACTATGGCATTTTTTAGGCCACTATTCTTAATGGTAGATGCCATAGAAATAGCCTGCAACGATGAACTACTCGTTTGCATGATTCCTCTTTTCAAACCAATGCCTTTGAGCCCAATAAACTCTTGAATCTACAACACCCTTTCATGAATTCCAACCTTTTGAATCTACAACACCCTTTCATGAATTCCAACCTTTCTCTCCCTGAAAGTTGCAGACACAGGATTTGCCATTAGAGCTCAAACCCAGTAACGAATTAGGATTAAAAAACTCAAGCCCAATAAAGAAATTGCCCTAAAAAATTCAAACCCAATAAAGAACAGTTCGACATAAAAACTCAAACCCAATAAAGAAGAGTTCGACATAAAAACTCAAACCCAATAAACATCAATGATTAAAAATGCATTCGAATGATCTGACGAATTGAAATGGCGACATCTTCTTCTGCTGGCAAATCTTCGTTTTTAGAAAAAATAATGCTGGTTAGTATATATCCATGGTAATTAGATCCCTTGCCCTAATTACAAATTGTTTGAAGTTACATGAAACTTAAAGCGAAGATACTTCTCTCCATGGAAGAACCTTTATTAGTGATAACTTCTTACAAGCTCAAATCAGGGAAGTTAAGGGAGAGAGAGAGAGATCAGGGCAGTGAAGACTGAAGCGAGAGAGAGAGAGAGAGAGAGAGAGAGAGAGAGAGAGAGAGAGAGAGAGAGAGACGTACGTGTG